AACACGCGCCTTCAGAAAGTCTCGGCACCTTTTTATAGCTACGGCGGAGCGCTCCAAGGGTCAACAGCTCTCCACACAACGTATTTCCAATTTGATCACCTCCTGTATCTCACGTTGTTATGCCCTACGACACAAATCCTTACCAGGATGACCTCGCGCTCATTCCACCAGAGGCATGGCCGCATCTACTGCGTACCTTAGAGGGGTACCATTACAGGACATATGCCGTGCAGCAACCTGGTCATCCTCGCTCACCTTTGCCAAGCACTATGCTCTTGCGAACATATTGAGGAATGATTCAACGGTGGCGCAAGCAGTCTTGGCCACAGCACAGAGACCATAAGTCCGAAGCACGCCGATAGTGCTTGACCACTGCTCTGTACTCACCTCGAGTGGAGCACCCTCGGGGACACTACTCGACAAAGAAGAGAGAGTTACTCACCCTGTACAGTAACGTATGTTCTTCGAGATGTGTGTCCCCATGGGTGCTCCACGACCCACCCTCCTCCCTGCTTCGGAGCTTCTGTTTATCTCTTTCAGATGCTCCCGGTTGGGAGGAAACTAACGAGCCGGCCTGCGCTCAGCTGTAACGGCGCGAGGCAACAGGAGCGCATGTGCGGGCTGGCAGGGCTACTGCTGTGGAAGTTTCTCCGTTTTGCGGCGCCGGGACGGACCCAGCACCTCGAGTGGAGCACCCACGGGGACACACATCTCGAAGAACAGATGTTACTGCACAGGGTGAGTAACTCTCTCTTCACCTTCTTGGCTACAAAGGCACACTGTTAACTCGTATCCAGCTACTCATCCACTGTAATCCCCAGGTCCTTTTCTGCAGAACTGCAGCTTAGCCATTCAGTCCCCAGCCTGTAACAATGCTTGGGATTCTGCCATCCCAAGTGCAGGACTCTACACTTGTCCTTGCTGAAACTCATCAGATTTCTTTTGATCCAATCCTCTAATCTGTCTAAGTCACTCTGGACCCTAACCCTGCCCTCCAACATATCTACCTCTCCCCCTAGCTTAGTAATGTAGCAGAAGTTGTGTTGCTTATTCTGACATTAGCCCTGCTGTGTAGATGTATCTCAAGAGGGCAGATCGATTTGTGCCAAACTCCAGTGGGTCCAGTAGGAGGAGCTGGTTCTCAGTGCCATATGAAAATAGTTTATTATAAATGCTGAGACACCTAACTATCACTAGCTCTGGTTTAATTTTATTTTTAAGTGCCTCAAAATTCAGTATTAACCAAGAAAAACTCAGTAGTATAGGAAGGATGGTCCTGTGGTAAAATCCTCAGAACCTCTGGCTTCAGTTCCTGTCTCTGCCACAGATTTTATGTGACTCTAGTCAAGTCACTTCACTTTTCTGTGCCTCATTTTCCATCTCTATTAAATGTGGATAATGCCTCCCTGGCCCACAGAAAGAGGTGTTGTCAGTCGAGTATGTGAGTTGCTTAAGAACAACAGTGATCAGAGCCAGATAAACACATACAGTAGATAAGTCAGGTACAGCCAAATCTTCAAGAGAACCCCGTGGAGGCTGATCTGGCCAGAGCATATAGGATTGCACTTGAAACTGACATGTCTTTTGTGGTTTAAGCCCCATTCAGCAAAGCATTTAAACATGTCCATAAATCCCATGTATGCTAATGGAATTGAATGACTTCCCAAACAGGTTAAAAAAGGAGAGGAAATTACCAGTCCATTCACAGCTGGATAGAACTGGCTCCCTCAAGGCATCTTAAACTAGTCTTTTTTCTCCATGGTCCCAAGCCTGCTTTCTTCCCAGGACACAACACACTAGCAGCACTCCACAGGCCCCTTGAAAGCTAGCCAGACCTGATGGTGCAGAGCAATTTAGGATTAGCCAGTCTACTATGTGTAAACATAATTTCTTTGTGACTGTATAATGAAGAAAGTGAGATAGGTGTGTTGAGAACCTGAAGTGCTGAGGAGTGCTGGAGAGAAATCCCACACATTTCCCCTGACACTGGTATAAACAACTTCCCTCCATGCCTCCTATCCTTTGTTTGTTTGTTTTTGTTTTATACTAACGCTCAATAAAGCTATTATTTATCCGAAACTCAGACACACCCTATTCTTTTTCTTTCAAGTGATATTAAATACAGGTGGCTCTAATGGAGTAAGTGAGGCTTTGTTGATGAGTACTAGGAAGTCATTCGCCATGACCAGGATAAGATGTGGGTAAAAGATTAAGTTCAAATCCCACTCACTTGATTAATATGTTTCAGAGAATATTTTAAGCCTCCAAATTGACTATAAGGAATTCAAGATAGCAGATCCATTTTAAAAATGGCTTCCTTTCAGGAATCACCAAGAACATAAGAATGGCCATACTGGGTCAGAGCAAAAGTCCATCTAGCCCAGTATCCTTTTTGCTAACAGTGACCAATGCCAGATGCCCCAGAGGTAGTGAACAGAACAGGGAGTCATCAAGTGATCTCTCTCCTGTTATCCATTTCCAGCCTCTGACAAACAGAGGCAAGGGACACCATTCCTACCCATCCTGCCATTCCTACCCAAGTAAGAAATAGTCTCTGAACACCCTGTTTTATGGATTCTTTAACAATCTAGAACAGTGATTTTCTGAAGTATCTTTATTGAATCCAGTATCCCATTGTGATTTACATAGCAGCAAGTTAAGTTCTGATAAAGTAGTGACTGTGTAAGTAAATGTAGCAGCCATTCTATCTTTAGCAATGACATATAGAAAGACTTGTGTATCTAAATTGGTTTTGGATGTTGGCTAGAATACTGTATTCATCCTCAATTCTTCGTAAATTGCCCTGCGATTGTTAAGTTCCACCCAGACCACTAATCTGAGAAAAGCAGAAAGGAATGTCTGTTTAGTATCAGCTATGATGGAAGGCCTGCCTTGCATTGCTGCACTGCATATTACACTAGTGCATTGCATCGTCAGCATAGGGTGCCCATAAACAAAGGGGATCTCAGTTTTCTCTCTCCCACAATAATACAGGAACAATGCAGCAACCTCTATCCTACCCGTAGTATTGCATACTACATTAGAAATGAGTGAGGGCCCTAATCTTGGTGTTGTCTAGAACCCGACAGAGCTTTATTAGCACCAAAATAACCTAACTGCAAACTGTGTGCTACATTATCAGGAGGTAAGATATGAACAATAGTATCACAAAGTCAGTTCCAGAAAACCTGCTCATCATTTCCCCCACTGGCACTCATGACCCACTCAGAAGCGTAGTAGAAAGAGACATAGATGGCCTCAGAGGTCTGGACCAAGAATGAGATAAAAGCATGGTTGTGACCTTGGAGAACTTGCCAGATCCAAAAGCAAATCAAGAAGCAGCAGGATTATGGAAGAAAATATTTCAGACTTGGGTTTTCAGAGCAATTATATTTCTCTGTGGACAGAGCAGCTGAAGATATTGAATGGCCTGCACTTGAGCAGCAAGAGGACCACAGTATTAGGGGCTTGATCCAGAGCCCACCAAAGTCAATGAAAAGACTCCCATTGATTCAGTGGCTTTGGATCAACCCTTAGGAGATTAAAACAACTTTTTTAAAAAAAGCTTTAAATTTGAAAGAAAGGGAGAGTGGCATGGTGAGGAAATAAGTCATCATTCAAATAGGGAGAATATTATGGAAAGCTGCCAAAAGTTATCAAATTGGGATGTAGAAGCCAGTGTGGGGTAACTTGTTTCATGCCATCTACAGATTCTTGCAGATGTCACTGGATTGGTTGCATTCAGTCCACAGTGTCATTGCAACCATAGGGCTAGAAGCTTAATTTTAAAAAAAAATTAAAGCTGAAATTTGAGTGCACAAGATGCAGCCACCAGGAAAAAAGTATCATCTGACCATGCTGCCATGAGCCAGCCTGCCTTAACCCTTGACTGTAGTATACGGGAAGAGATGCTGTCATATCTTGGTGCTGGAGAATCCCAGGGCTATGATAGAACAGATGGGTTGTGATTATGTCCCAGTGCAGGTGGCTCCTGTGGGCTTCCATGGAGACTGAGCTCCTGTGGGCTTCCTCTGAGGTTAGTGCTGAGGTACATTGGCTGGAGATGATTCGATGGAAGCTTGCACTGTTGTGGCCCATACTGTCCCTTTTCTGAAGATAAGTAATGAATTTCAGCATCCAAAATTCATAATCTGCCATTTTTCACTAACACAAAATTATCTTTACAATGAAAAATGAGAGCAAGTGGGGGAGAGAGATTATACTCTCATACACTCCGTCTCTTCCACAGGCACACGTGAGCATGTGCATGTCCCACCCCTGCAGTTAAATTCTCTCAGGCACACATGCACTTACATGGCTGAGAGTGAGTGCTACTCTTCTGGTTTGGTGACTGTTAACAGAACAGGAAGTGGGGCCCTTGGGGAGAACTTATTTTAAGAATCTGAAGCGTAATATTTTTTTTCTTTAGGCAGAAATATCCATTGTGAACAGATGGGCGTGCTCCTGGGGATGCTCTGAATGAGCTGCACAGGTCACCAGTGGTTTTTGTTTGCCTTGTTGCAACCTACAATTAAGTGTAATTCAGAACAAACTATCAATTTGCATATTGCCTCACAAAATGTAACAGAGTTCAGGCTTGCTGGTTCAAATATAGTCCTGTTTGTGTGTTTAAGATTATTCCTCGCGGTTTCCATAGTGCATTAATATTTCAGCTTTAAATACAATCTCTTCCACGGGCTTCTGCCATGTAATATACTTGCTTGTTTTGGGGAGAGGAATATCTTTAGGTTGTCAGGGGGAGAAGCTGCTGGGCGATGCATATGTAAATACCCTCAGTGCTTCACTACCTTTATTAGCAGCAAACAGAAAGAAGAGTACACAAGAGCATTCCATAATTTGCAGTGTCTACAGAATTCCATCGGTGGAGAAGTTTCATCACTCATTCCAGTATCCTGCACATTACGATTTTGTAAGTCTTTCTTAAAAGAAGCCTGCTTGTGATGGCTTTACAATTTATAGGTCTGTCAATAGTGAAGCTAATGCAAATCCCACACCATCTAAAGTCTTCCCCTTGGGTCCTGGTTCTAGATGTGGGGAAGAAACCATGAATTTTCCTCCTTCTCTAGTACCCCAGTGCTCAATGGGAACAGATTACTGCATAATGAGATTTTCCCCTCCATTTCTGATCCTGCTGCTAGGAGTTGGTTGGATCCTGAGGAAGAAGAATTCAGCAACATGATGGCTCATATGAACAAATTATATCTTTCTTCTGTCATTTGGTTGAATTCGCAAGGAAACTGAGTTGGTAGACAGGTTTCATTTTCACTTGGTTGTATCTGTCAGTTATTGCTTCCAAGTTGTATGTGTAGCCTAGTACTTGTGGGACTTTTGTTTTCCTAAGCTGTCAGACAGTAGAGATGGGGTTGAAATCAATTGGTCCTTCCAACTTTTATCTTATAACACTGTCCAAGAGGAAACTATTGTAAACACAAGCTCCTTGGTTCGGTGGTTGTGTGTGTGTGTGTGTGTGTGTGTGTGTGTTTGACTTTGCTGCTGTGAGTTTTACAGCACCAGTCTTAGTGTGCTGTACAGATAAATATGGACTAATCAGTAAGAGAAGTTTCTGAACTGTCTGCCCTTTCAATAGTAATTTGAGTCATAGCATGAATTTAATGCCTGATCATCTGTCTGACCTCCTGAATATCAGAGGCCATTACCTCCATCTATACCCACACACTAAACCCAACAACCAAAATTAGACTAAAGTTATATAGCCCTCAAAAGACTAGACTATTATGCGCCGCAGCTAGTCATCAGTTTTCTGAAAACATTGAGCACTTCAGTCTGATTCTGTGGGTCCCATATAGTAAGGGGTTAACACTGGAAGATCTGAAGGTTTGGTTGCCCATCCCATTTTATCAAAACCAGTCAAATCTACAAAATTATTACGATAGCAAAGATCGCCCCTACTCTAAGGGACTTAAATCACTTAAACAAGCTTTCTTGTGAGCTTTCCACTTCTACTTGGGCTGGAATTACACTGAACACAACTTGTGTCATGTTATTTGTCATTTCCCAACTACGGGAAACAGTTTCTGAAGTCCAGAGGCAGCACAAATATGAAAAATCGTAAGGAAAAAAATAATTTGAACATTCTTACACATGCACAAAAGTCCAGAGTTCAGGTTTTGGAGGAGTGTTATCCGAACACACTTATCTATTCCTAATTACCTACCAGGGATTTATTCACACAGCCATATTGCCAGCATACAAAGTACGAGACACATACCATATACAGCAACGGCACACATGGATAGATATGCCAACCATCAGGTACACCAAAATATTCAGGCATGTACGTTACCAGACTTCCAAGTAATGGAACACCAACCCCCTATGTGTAGAGAAAAGGTCAGGCCAAGCATCAGGCTAGTTTCTGCCAGGAGAGTAACATGTTTGACCTCAGTGGCAACATGGGGGAAGCGTATGAGTCACATGCCTTTTCAGGACTTGCCAGTCCCATTCAGTCACACGGTGCAGCCGGGTCCCCTCCCCTGCATGCCTGCACCTTGTGGGAAGGGGTAGGAGTAATAGCTCAGAACTGCAGGGAGGGGCCCCTGCTTTCTGGAAGAGAGCCTGAGGGCAAGTGGGGAAGCCCTATCTGGGGGAAAGCCATGACTCAATC